TGTGGTCAGCAGGACCTCGTTTCTCCCTTTACCCTGACATATTCGAATTTTTCCTTAATCAGATAAATCCTGATAGATATCCAGAGCTTTTGAAAAGAGATTTTGAGAAAAATGGTTATTATGGATCTTTAGATCAAATGAACGACATGCTTAATTTTGATAAATTTCAGGAATTATTTGATTGTTTAAAACCAAGTGATATTACAGAAGATGATTACCGTCTCTGGTTAAAATTAATGATAAAGGACTGTCCAGAGCATTATTTAGGTGCTGGTGTGGAAGTTTTTATGCATATGTGGAAAAAAGAAGGATTGGATAATCATCGTACTTTCGTATTGGATGAGGAAATGATGGAAGATTCTTCTTTTCAAGGAAAATTTTTAGTGCATTTAGTTGAGAAGGGGTATATGGAGCCAGTATGGGAAATATTAGATAAAGCTAATCCTAATCAAATCAAAGAGTTTATGGGCTCTAAAAAAGATCATATACGTTCTATATTATTAGAGAAGGGAGATAGTAATTCATTAAATAGGTTTTTAGCCTATAGTAAGTCTACTGATGAGGGCCTTTGTCAGGAGAATGTACCTGGTCCAAGTGGTGATTTGGCTGAAGTGAAAGTTAGAGAAACACGTGGCCAGTCTAGTGTAGGATTGGGTAAATAAGATTATAGAATAATAGGGGGTTATATGCCAAACGAAGAAAAACCTCAAGATTTTGAATTAATAGAGTTGTTGATTAAAGAAGCAAGTTCAGTTACAGATGCTAGTGTTATTAATACTCCAACTCAACAAAGTGATGAGTTTAGGTCTTTCAAAGCAAGGTTTCAATCATATATAGATCAGATTCCATCATATTTACATTCAGTAGGTAAAGAAGGATTTTTCCCACATTTCTTTTTAGGAAGCTTTTCCACCTTGATAGATACAGAAATTGCGAAAAAGCTGGATATTGAAAAAATATATTTTAGGTTTGATGGTTCGAAAACTCTGAAGGTTGCTGTTCTAAAAAAAGGAGAAATCAAAAGTTCACAAGATGCTACTGATAAAGTGAACCTTTTTGTTATCACAGATTATGGTAGTAAAAATAAGGATTTTGGTCATGGTGATCTAGAAGAAATATTAAATCAAGTTAGTGCTCCGGGAAAGACTCAGTATATCAGTAATGCTAAGGATGAGCTTGAGGTTAAGTTAGTGAAAATTTCTAAAGATGCTGACGGTCAAATAGTTGTAGAAGTAAAAAATAAAAAATTGGATAAGAATAATACACGCTTTCAATTTACAGAGATAAAGAAAGGATTATGGAGAAATCCAGAAAGTGATATAGCTAAGCTCACTAATTATGATGCAAAAGATGTAAAAGCACATATCGGAAAAATTCTTACAAGAGTTAGTGAAATCCACTCTAAATATG